AAATTTGAATAATAATATTATTACCTGGTCTTTACTGTAGACATATAGATATTATCCTATCATTGACAGCACTGTATTTCAAGATAGATCTTGAAATGTCCCTTTGATCATGAATGCCATGACATTCTTCTTGAACTCATCATTCCTGGCATAGTAAACAATATGAGTGTCAGATCCAAATGATCCCTATGCTTTCTGTTTCATTTTTGGCAACTTTCAGTTTTCCTAGATTCATACTTCATACATTCCACATTTTGATTATCAGTGGATGTTTGCAGCTGTTTGTTCTCATTTTAAGTCATGTCCCATCAGCAAATGAAGATCCTAGAAGCTTTACTACATCCATATCATAAAGGTTAACTCTGCCTTGAGGAGGCAGCTCTTCTTCAGTCATAATTTGAGTGTCTTACCATCTGAGGGGCGCATCTTCTGACACTATGTCACATAATGTTTCACTGCTATTCATAACATAAGATTTTCAGACCCTATCCCTCAGAAGTAGACTGCCTATTCCTTCGTCTAAAAGCTCCACTGGAAAAAACCCATCTTGAGTGACCCCAGTGATATAGCTTCTGGCATCACAATGACGGAGTCCTGGTGTGGCACTATGGGCTAATGTACTAGACTGCAAAGTCAATATAAACCACAAGGTCACTGGTTCAAACTCACCAGCCACTCCTTGGAAGCCCTGTCCAGGGTTGTTATGGGTCAGAACTGACTCAATGGCACTTAACAACAACATCATAACAAACAACACTCAAGCTACCACAGTATGACAAATTGGCAGATGTATGGGAGACAATGATCTGAACCTTCTTTAATTCCAAAAACATTTACTGAGCATCTCATATGTGCCAGACTCTGGTCTAAGTTTGGAGGAGCAGGGAGCGCAATAGCAAAACAAAGTCCCTACTGTCAGGAATTTATATTATCATACAAGGAGACAGTTAAAAACAAATACAAATATGGAACAATACAGTAGGTGCTCTGTTATGTTCAGAAGAGTTTTTATATTAAAAAATCTTGTGCCTAAAAGTGTCTTGTATATTAAAAAAAAAAATATATATATATATCTTGTATCTGTATGTGAAAATTGTGATTAGTACAGTTTAACATGTAAAACAAACTTAGCATTACAGTGCAGATTGGGGAAAAGCAAGCCATCAGGACTGGCAGGGCCATGTGGGGCAATATGAAACTTGGAACAGAAGGAAGCAAAAAGGGGCACTGGTGGGACACTGATTAGGTATCTGGTTGCTAATTGAAAGGTTGGTGGTTCAAACCCATGCAACGGCTCCATAGGAGAAAGACTTGCTAATATGCTCCCTTAAAGGTTGTTGTTGCTACTGTCAAGTGCTGTAGAGTTGATTCTGACTCATAACAAGCCTGTGTAGGGTTTCTGAAGCTATACATCTTTGCAGGAGCAGAAAGCCTCATCTTTTTCCCACAGAGTGGTTGGTAGGCTCAAACCACAGATCTTGTGGTTCGTAGTCCAGTGCTTATCTTCTAGTGCCACCATGCTTCCCTCTAAAAGTTACATTCCAGAAAGCCCTCCAGGACAGTCTTACTCTGCCAATTGAGGTTGCCATGAGTCATAATCAGCTTGATGGCACATCGCAACAACAGGGAAGGAGAGACTGGAGGTGTATTCACAATTCGAAAGGAAGAGAGTAGGAGAAAGCCGTCAACCCTAACACTCCTGAGAACAATCTAGACGTCCAATAGTGAGGTTTTAAGAATGTCAAGGATACCCCTGGGAACGTGTGAAGCTGAGTGGGAGGCAAAGGGCACAGTCTCCACTGCAGGTGGATCTGTGGGAGGACAGTGAGCATCCATCCATTGATTGACCTCAGTTGAAACTACTTGTTATATATTGATGAAAGAAAACTAAGCATTATGTGCTATTAGTTTGACCATGTTGGTTATTATTTTTTAAGTGCAGTGACCAAGAAGAAGGTTGGGTATTAAATGCTTACCTTGGTCATTTCTTCATGCCTAAGAGGCTCCATAGACTCTGGGTTAGGCATTGTACTGCTCATCACAAGGTCAGCAAATCAAACCACCAGCGCTCCTCTGGGAGAAAGATGAGACTGTGTGTTCCTGTAAAGATTTACAGTCTCAGAATCCTCATCTAGAGTGGTTATGCATCAGAACTGACTCAGTGGCAGTGGTAGTGTGAAGGAGCCCTGGTGGTACAGTGATTGATGCTTGACTGCTAGTGTTCAAATCCACCCAGTACTTCCACGGGGAAAGGCCCTTGTGATCTGCTTCTGTAAAGATTACAGACTAGGAAGCCTTACAGGGCAATTCTACTCTGTCATGGAGTCTTGGTGTGGTGCTGTAGGATAAGCACTGGACAGCTAATCACAAGGTTGGAGGTTCAAACCCACCAACTGCATCTTGGAAACACTATATAGGATCATTGAGTTGGAACTGACTTAACAATATAATGACACTTAACAACAGCTCTGCCATGGGATCACTATTAATTGAAATTGACTCAATAGCACCTAATAACAAGGAAAGCCCAATGGGGAATCTTGACAGCTAAAGAAGTGCCAGCCAAAAGGAGGTATTTCATTGCTAACCATAAGTCTTGGAGTCCTGGTGTGGCACTGTGGATTAATGTGCTGTACTGCAAAAGCCAGTTTGAACTGCAAGGTCGGTGGTTCAAGCTCACCAGCCACTTCTCAGAAACCCTATACAGGGTTGCTCTGGGTTGGAACCGACTAGACGACACTTAACAACAACTACAAGTCTTATAATTGCTTTTATAAAAATCACATTCATATCACACAAAAAAAACTTGAAAAGGGTCTGATGAGCTTAAAGATGACATCTCAATGTTTCTCCTCCTTTAAATTCTCTCCCCTTTTGTCCCCTTTCTCCCTTCAGTATAATTAAATGGGCCGTGTCCCTCCATTTCTCCCCTTTCAGCCACAGTGGCTCTTCCCTCAGCTCCACTGACTTTGCACACATCACTTTTGCACATCATGTAGGTTTCTGATTAAACTCTCCTCAGAAAGGCCTTCCCAACCACTCCTAGAACAGCTGCCCCACCTCATGCTGTCCTTAGCTCGTGTTTCTTTTTGTCTTAGCACTTACACAGCATTGCACCACAATGTGTTTGTCTGTTTCCATTACCAAAGCATAAGCTCCATGAAGGCAGGAACTCGGTCCACTTCCTGCTGAAGCCTCAGTGCCTAGAACAGTAATAAATACTTGTTCCATGAATAAATGCTAGAGTGAATGAATTCTACACCAATCTGATAGCTTGATGGATTTACAAAAAAATATAAAATATGAAACCTATTTGGGAAAAGGCTCAACTCTTTCCCTTCCTCCAACCCCCTTTGGTGGGAGAGAAGGAGAGCTGGAAATAGAATGGGAGAAGTTTCTGTAAATTTCCGGTAACCATAGAGACAGTGATTTTAGTTTATTAATCTCATGCTCTTAAGCAGACTGGGGCCCCACAGTGATTTCTCCAAATTGCTCAGTGCTGGTTATCCTGCACCCTGCCTCATTAAGGAAGAGCAGCTCATTCCTTTCCTGCACATTCTTTAATTACTGATGAGCAGTTATGCTCATTATTGTGTGCTCTAACCTGGATGTACCTCTCGCTTGGGGACCTGGACCTCAGGGGCTTCAGTGCTAGGTGTTAGGAGTGGCAGCCTCCTCTCCAAGCCTGGGACAGATGCCTGGAATAGGGACTGACTAGGCCCTGCAAATGTTGCTCTGTCTTCTCATTCAGCTATACTGAAGACGGGAGGCTGGTGCCTTCTGAAACATCGCTTAGTTCTAGCCAGGAAAGGGCACCAGGAATGGTTTTCTGCGCACAATGGCTATGCTTGGCAGGGGAAGGAGTTGGGCATGTCCTCGGGAGCCATGTACTTCTTACTGTCTAGACTTTCGAGAGCTTGATTTCAGGGTTAATGTTTCTCTTAAAATGGCCATTGCATGAAGCCTTCTATGATTTTGCCTCTCATGTCCTTAAGATAAGAGACTTCCAAATTGCTTTTGTCTTTCCATGAAGCTAGAGGCAAACAGGACACTTGGCCTCACCCCTCTGTGGTCATTTCTCCTGTCAGAAGACCAGAGTTTGGATTCTAGCTTGGCAGCTGACTCAGAGTACAGTTATAGGTTGGGGGACTCAGCCTGTCTGAGTGTTAGTGTCCTCATCTGCCACATGAGACTGGACTTGGTGGCTGCCAAGTTCCTTCTGCAATTATGTTGAGACTCTGACTGGTTCTGAAAGCAGTCCAAGGAGGTTAGAGGCACTGTGTCTTCCCGAATGAAAGAGGGTGGCATCTGGCAGTAGGAGTTCTGGAGAGGAAGCCTATTTCTCTCCTTTGGCTAGTCACCCAAGGCTTGCACTCACCTTGGTGTTGGCTGCCATTTTGGAAATGTTGGTCATTCTTCCAGTGAGTTCCACTAGGTGCCAAGCACTGTACTAAGTGTTCGTGGTACAACTGTCCAACTGTGGTTGCTGTTGTTAGTTGCTATTGAATGGACTCCAACTCGACTCATGGCAACCTTATGCATAATGGACTGTAACCTTGCCCAGTGCCGAGCCTGCTTATTGGTATGCTTGAGTCCGTTGTTGCCACTATTGTCAATCTGTCTGTTAAGGATCTCCTTGTTTTTGTTGACCTTAACCAATAATTAAGGTCCTTTTCTAGTAATTGATCTTTCCTGATGTCCAAAGTAAGTAAGCCTTAGCCTACCACCTATTCATTCTGGGTTAGGGTTAGGACTAGAGTTAGTTAGTTGGGTGACTCAGTGGCAGATTCAGCCTCTGTGGCCAGTTTTCGTGGCTGTGAGCCTGTCTTTCATATACACATATCTAATCTTAATGGTATCAGAGAAGAAGCCCTGGGAAGAATCTGGACTCTGAGCCCTCCAGCAGAGCTGAAGCTGAGACTTGGGTGGGCTAGTACCTGGAGTGAGCCTGGCCTTAGTCACTGACAGATCTGAGTCTGGCTGATCTTAATCCCTTCCAGGTGCCGCAACCTCTCATTCCCCGACAGCCTGCCAGAGGTGAGCATTGTGTTCATCTTCGTCAATGAAGCTCTCTCCGTGTTGCTGCGCTCTATCCACTCAGCCATTGAACGCACGCCTTCACACTTGCTCAAGGAGATCATACTTGTGGATGACAATAGCAGCAATGGTGAGTGTCCAACCTCCCTGGCTGACATCGGAGCAGAGGGCTCAGCTTCTCTTCAGGGCTGTTCCTTAAATGGGATATCTCCTCAGAGAGGAAAGACTCATGGTGGACTCTGCTTTGGTAGGTTCCTTCCTCTAGGTACACCCTCTCTACATCCCAGAGAGACCCCCACCCCAAGCTTTACCTCATTGGTCAACCACTTTCTCCTCCAATATTCTACTATAATACACTACACATTATAAAACCCTGTCCTCCTCCCTCACCAGGTCCACAAGAAATATTCCCAGTGACTTTTTCTATGAAGCATCATTTAATTTTATCATAAATAGTGCTCCTTGGCCTCTGCCCTGTAAGATTGTTGGTTGATGCCATCTTAGTAGGGCGGTGATGATGGTGAAGCTGTTGATGGTGCAGGCCATGGTAGAAGTCCTTCCTATGGTATGGATGATAGGGATGGTACTGGATGTGTCACCCACGAACAGCAGTGGAGCCGTTGAGTGTCTAATCCCTTTGCTGGAGGTTCTCTGTTCCATCAGGGGTCTACCAGTTCCCCAGGTAGCCTGCAAACTCCTTGTTGAAGCCTTCACATCACTATCTCCCCATCTCTAGCCATTACCAGGTACTTCTTTCCTTGGCTTCTGATTCCATGACCTCTAATTCCATATATATATATATAAAACCCCCACACATAGAACACATAGATTGAGACAGTTTAAAAACCAGTATACTTAGTAGTATTTTTTTATATGGATATGCTTCTAATAATGCATGAATTTTCAATGGCTGCTGGGTCATTGACTTATGGAATCACTGGGCATCTCTTTAGAGCTCTCTCTGGGTCAGGTAGACAATTCTCCAGTGTATGAGCTATTGTAATGAGAAGCTCAAATGAACAATTTGTGCTTTGTTACCAATGAAAATTAAAACATATCAGATCATTGAAATATATTTCATCTGAATAAATGCATATTCTTTTTTTCATTTTATCATCATGTAGTTAGAAATGTAGGAACAGTGTTGTGATAGAAATTTGAGAGTTTTCTGAAGGTCAGTGGCTACAAATCATTGTTAATGGCTCTACAACATGACAAAATGAAAATCCAAATTTAGCAGCAAGTATGCAGTGATGATTTTCAAGGTAGGAAGTAGACACCCCAGTTTTATAGAAGGCAACAATGAGGAACCTAACTCCCATGTTTCTAGTCCCTCCCTACCATCACCCTGCTTGTTTCCCATGTGCTGAATCCATAAAACAATTCTCAGTTCCTCAAAGCTAACTTGAGGACAGCCTGATTAGCCTGCCCATTACTCCCTTACTCTGGGCTATACCTCTTAAATTGTAAGAAGGCAAGGATGAAGGACCATCTTGATCCTTGTCTTGGTGAGGACATCCTCCAAAAAAGAGGCCTCTCTAGGGCCCATTCTGCTACATTTCCTCACATAAAGAATGAGAAAAGAGCGTGAAGTACCAGGAAGAAGAAATCTTAGAGCTCTTCACATATTCCCCATGGTAGGAACCTCATAATGTCCTCAAAGTTTCCACCTTGTCTTTAATCCATATGAAAAACTGGCCTTTGTGCATGCTGAATTCCCTGAACATTGTGTGAAAGGAAGAACTCTGGAATGATGTCATGGGTTCTAGGACCTTCTCTACTGTTACTGGATAAGAGACCACAGAAATGCCCCTAACCCTCTCAGTCTCAGCTTCTTCCTCTGTCAAATGCAGATAAGCCTTCCCTTGCTTTCCATACCTGCCTACAGTGGCATGATGCATGACTGTCAGTATTGTTTCTGACCCCTAGCCCCCATCTCGTTTCCAGACGGCTGACATAGCTGCAGAACTAGAGTTCAAGAGAGAAAACTGGGGAAATGTGGCATTGGCATTTCTTGCACAGAATAATTGAAGCATTGACTGGAAGGAGAGAACAAACAGAGAGAAACTGAAAGAACAAAAAAATACTTGAGAGAATCTGTGTGTAAGGCATTTAGGAATTGGAGGAAGAGAAGTAGCCACTGAGTGACAGAGAAGGAGCGGCTAGAGAACCTGGACTCAGAAAGCCAAACCATCGAGTTGATTTTGACTTATAATAACCCTCTATGATTAAGTGGAACTGCTCCATTGGGTTTTTAAGACTGTCAACCTTTACAGGAGCAGACAGCCTCATCATTCTCCTACAAAGCGACTTGTGGGTTTGAACTACCAACCTTGCAGTTGACAGCCTAATGCTTAATTCACTATACCACCAGGGTTTCTTATCTGGATGTGCACAGAAAAATCCCTGGATAGGAAAGTCATTTATTTGGCCAAATCCACTAGTAGGTAAGAGTCCTGACATGATGCTGTAGGATCAGCACTGGACTTTTAACCACATGGTTGGAAGTTCAAACCCACCAGCCGCTTCTTGGAAACCCTATACAGGGTCACGATGAGTTGGAACTGACTGCACAGCACTTAACAACACCAGCACTAGTAGGTAGGAACAGGGTTCTGAGAAAGATGTGGGAACCTCTGCAAGAAGCTATTGTGGGATGCTCTGAATAAGGGCTGCAGGAGCCAGGTGAAGATGAAGGTGAAGGGCAGGTGATGAGGCAGATGCTTCTTTCAGGGATTTTTGTCTGTACAGGAAAGTCATGAACTATCGAAACTGGAGACATGTCTTTATTTTTTTATATAATCCTCAGCAAGAAATATTGGACATATTGTCCGGAGGAAACAATCGTTGGAGAAGGATGTCATGCTGGGTAGGGTGGAGGGTCAGAGAAAAAGAGGAAGACCCCCAACGAGATGGATCAGCCAGGTGGCATCATTGATGGACTCAAGTGTGGCAGTGGTAGTGAGGTTGGCGCAGGATCAGACATTGTTTCGTTCTGCTGTGCATGGGGTCGCTATGAGTTAGTTCCGACTCGATGGCACCTGACAACAACAACGACAACAGCAAGAAATTCATTTTCATTTGTGATCTTTATGACATACTTACCCATACAATGCAGATTGAAACAAAGTGTCTTAGAAACAATAGTCTTGCAATGTGTAAAGCACTCTGATGTTTTCTATTCTGTTCTTCGGTATTTTATTCCATTGTATTTTGTTTTGTTGTATGTTTTTCCTCTCTTTTTTTAAGTCAGGTTATTCTCAAGATTTACTGCACAAGAATGGCTTGGGGAGCTTTTAAGAAACTTGGGGGCTTAGGCTTCACATCTAGTGATTTTGTTGGTGAGGGTAGGGTGGTTGGGGGAAGCAGGCACCCTGAGGAGAGCTTAGTATCCTGGGCATAGAAACAATGACTCTTTCTAAGAAGCATCATTTCGTTTTAGCATAAATGGCGCTCCTTGGCCGCTGCCTTGTAGATTGTTGGTTGGTGTCATCTTAGTAGTGGGGGTATGATGGTGGAGTTGTTGGTGGTGCAGGTGGCAGTACAAGTCATAGTGTATGGATGGTAGGGATGGCAGTGCTCTAAGAAGAAAAGGTCCATCTTTCTCCCATTCAGGCAGAACAGATGAGGGGATGGAGAGACAAGCAGAGTAATAGGGCTCAGTTGCAGCACCCAGTAAAGGCAGAGTCTAGGGCATGGTGAGACAGGACCTGGAGCTCAGAAGGGTACCTCTGTGGGGAAGGAGCTATGGAAGTGACCAGTAATGGGGCTCCCCTAGGCCAGCCTGAGCTGAACTCCTGAGAACAAGCAACATACTCTTGAGACTGTGGCTCATAGAAAAAATGCACCATCTTTGACTTCAAGACACAGCTGCAGGACCTTTCCTCCAGATGGGCCCAGCCTGACTCGAGGGAAGCGCCTATGGCTTTATCTGGCATGAGCCCCTTCTTAGGGACCACCTCCCTTGGGCATCATCTCTCTAAGCACAGGACTTCTACTGAGCACTAGTCAGGCCAACTCAGCTCAACAAACCTTCCTTGAAGGACCCTACCCGGTCCAGGAAATGTAGGGAATGATGGATCAAAACATTAACAAGTTCTGCAGACAGATGCAAAATTGGAATGAAACTTAGGAGGATTCGCCTCCCAGCCTCACTTCTGCTACTTCCTAGCTGTGGGACTTTGGCCTTTACTATGTGGGGACATTGGAGTCCTGCTATAGGATAAGCACTGGATTCCTAACTTCCAAGGTTGTCTATTCAAAGCCATCAGCCTCTATGTGAAAATCCTATACAGGGTTGCTATGAGTTGGAACCTACTTGACATCAAACAACAATAACATATGGGGACATTAGATCCTACCTCACCCTGGCTACCTAATAGAATCTTCAATAACAGGAAAGAGTGGGTAGGAAAGCTTCACATAGGCTGCAAGGTGCTAAGTTAAAACGTCAGGAATAAAACTAAGGACAGCAGCAGTAGTGTGATGGTGACGAAGAGAGCTCACATGTAGCCACTATTCAGAGGCATGCCCTTTGGTTTTCTCTCCTTCCTGAAACAGTGTGCTTCAGTGGGAAGAGCCCAGGGTTTGGCATTGGACTAGCTTTTCAGCTGTAGCTCTTCCTTTCTTCCTCCTAGCTGTGTGTGCTTAACCTCTGTGAACTCCATTTTACTTATCTATAAAATTGGATATATAATTCCTATCTCAGGGGCCACTTGGAGGTTTGAAAGAGATAATGCACGAAGGGAGAGAATTTGGCATTAAAATTCTAAATTCAGTAGTAGTCCTGGTGTGGTACTGTGGGTTAATGCATCAGAGTGAAAGGTTGTTTGAACTGCAAGGTTGGTGGTCCAAGCTCACCGGTTGCTCCTTGGAAACCCTACACAGTGTTGCTATGGGTTGAAATTGACTTGATGGCACTGAGCAACAACATAATCATTTTGAAGTCCTGGTGTGGCACTGTGGGTTAATGTGCCAGATTTCAAAGGTGTTTGAACTGCAAGGTCGGCGGTTCAAGCTCACCAGCTGCTCTTCGGAAACCCTATACAGGGTTGCTATGGGTCGGAACTGATTCGATGGCACTTAACAACAACAACAACAGCAGTGCATCATTAAGAATCTTTAAGAGTA